AGGAGGAGGAGGAGGAGGGAGGGGCCCGAGCCGCCGCGCCCAGCTGCTCGCGCCGCTGGCCCCTCGAGGCGCCCGGCGATGATAGACTTTGACGAGCTGGAGGCGCTGGAGCAGCAGCGCGCCCAGGATTACGTTCGAGCAATGGCGAAGCGTCCTGACGCGCCTGTAGGCCCACCACACAATGTTCTAAGAACAGTTCTGGCTGGAACTGTGTTGTTTAAGTCCATTGGTTCTATGTTACACGAACATTGTTGGTTATTAGAGGAGCTTGGGGTTCTAAGGAAATTTCGTGGTACGCCTATAGGAGTGTCGGAACGGTCGGTCCCTGTTCAATACGTTGTTTCCATCATACTTACGGACCAGATCCCAGACATATTTTTCGAGCACCCAGAAAAATATGGAGACAGTGTCGAACCAGTGTCGTCTCCGGGGCCCGACACGTGGAAACCCTCCGGTTTCGGTAATTATTGTCTTGGTGCTCGAATTTTTTCTGGTGATCACGGCCAAATTAGGTTGAAACATCATAAGCCCAGGAGCGCGCTGGCGCGGGCGGCGCAGGGAAGCAGCCGGGCGACGAGGCGCCGACGGCTGGCGCGGACTGCGCGGGGAAGCCGCCGGCCGACCAGGCGCCGACGACTGACGCGGACTGCGCGGGGAAGCCGCCGGGCGACGAGGCGCCGACGGCTGGCGCGGGCAGCGCGGGCAAGCAGCCAGGCGACGAGGCGCCGAGCGGCCCAGAGATCCGAGGTCTTGTGTTTGTTGCAGTGCGGCGCCTGGAGGGTTTCCCCGAAGGGCTTAGGCGACCCGTCCTCCTCCCCCTCCTCCTCCTGCTCCTCCTCCACCTCCTCCTCCTCCTCCTCCTCCTTCTCCTCCTCCCCCTCCTCCACCGTCTTCTCCTCCTCCTCCTCCTCCACCTCCTCCCTCCCTCCTCCTCCTCCTCCTCCGCCTCCTTCTCCTTCTCCTCCCCCCCTTTCATCTTCTCATCCTCCTCCTCCTCCTCCTCATCCCCCTCCATCTTCTCCTCCTCCTCCTTCTCCTCCTCCTCCTCATCGGGTCGCCTACGGCCCAGGGGGAAGCCGTGCAGCGGCGCCCCCAGACGTCCTGACCCTTTCTTTACGGGCTTGTCATGCTGAGCCAGTTATTGACGGCCCTGGGGCTAAGTCATTGCACCAGGTCTGCCGTAGCTCATGTGAATTCGGGTGACGGCAGTTCGGGTCAGTGGAGGGGGGCGGGGGAGGCGTCCCTAAGCACATATCACCAAACCGGTTCCCACCAGTGCCAGTCTTGCTCTAATGCCCGAGTTTTCGTTGTGTTATTCCCTGGTAGCGTTTCGCCGGACGGTTCTGACAGTGGTGAAAACAGGACCCACAGAAGAGTCCCACAGGGGGGACGGGGAGCCCTAGACCGCCAGGTCTGACAGCCGTTTCGCCTGAGACTTCCGCACGCTTTATTCGGGAATCGTGCTTTCGCCTCAACGCTGGCTTGTTGTATTTTTGGCCCAGACGGTCACGATCCCTGGTCAACATCAGCCATCGCAGACTTCAAATAGATCAGGATGCTGCAATACAGCGAATTGGAGTGGGCTGAAGTAGACTGTACTGGAGTAGACTCGACTGGACTGTTGTGGACTGTGGACTCTACTCTCTACTTTACTCTACTCTATTCACTATACTCTACTCTACTCTACTCTACTCTATTCGACTCGACTCGACTCGACTCGACTCGACCGTCTACCATACTCTTCTCTTCTCTACCCTACCCTGCTCTACCCGACCCGACCTTAACCTGCTCTACTCTTTTTTATATACTCCCAAACTGCTTCAACACCATCTTACTCTACTCGAACACGCTCTCCTCTACTCTGCCATACTGTACGCTTCTCTGCTCTACTCCAGCTGGACAGCGGCGGCCGGCAGGACGACGTCGGCGACGTGGTCTGGTCCCACAGCGCGCTCTCTGCCAGCACGCCAGGCGGACCGCCGCTCGGCGCTGCGAAGGCGGTTGAGGGCAGCGAGGTGGACGGCGAGGAGGCTAGCGCGCCGATCCGTGCTCCTCCCTCGGTCGCCTCGGGCCCCATCGGCCCCGTGCCAGGCGCCCGCGGAGGGCTGGTTTTGCCAGCGGCTGCAGGGCGGAGCACGGCGGCGGCCTCGATCAGCACCAGGGTGCGCTTCTCGCCTGCGCGCCGGGTGGCCATCTTGGCTCCTGCGTGCCCCGTGTGAATGCGCTGGAGGTTGCCGGGCGCAATGCTGGCCTGCGCCGGGGCGAGCCACTTCCGTCGCCGCCACGGGCCAGCGCTCCAGCAATCGTCTGCATAGGGGGGCGACCCCGCTGCCGCCGCCCAGCCTTCCGACGCCAGGCGGTCTATCGCTCGGCCGCCGAGGGTGTAGCGACCGAGTGGGAGGTCGCCTGCAGGCGCGGCCGCAACCTCCCCGCGTGCACTCGCGTCGCCTTGGCCGAGCACGTGCGCAGTGCGGCGGCGGCCAGCGAGGCCTCCTTCGCCTCGGGGCCGAAGTGGTGGCGATGGTCGCGCGCCAGTGCGAAGGACGCAGACAGCGGGTCGGACGTTTTCGATGGGCTGGAGGCGGCTGCCAGAGCGGTCGGGGCCGACACTGGCGGCAAGCAGAAGGAGCTCGAAGGCGTCGCCGACCCCAGCGCGGGCTGCGCGGGCAGCACCTTGGGCCCCCCCCCCTATCGGGCAGCACCTCGGGCCTCCGCCTCCTCGGCGTTCTCGCTGGCGCCGAAACAGGCGGTGGCTTGGGGGAGGCTGCCAGCGTCGAGCAGGACTAGGCCCAGAGCTTGAAGTACGGCAAGCTCCGGCAAGCGCAGCGGCAACGGCAAGGCGCTGTCTGTGACCTTGCAGGGCGAGGCCGTGGCGGCTTCCAGCAGCGTCTTCCCGCTCTCTCACCTCGTCGCGTTGGGGGAGCTGCGCCTGGGCGGAATGCTGGAACTCGACACGGCGACAGTTCCTGATGCAAAAGTAGATGGCGAGGTCGTCTTTGGGGATGTGAGTTCCATGGAGTTCGAAGGCATGGCGCCGCTGCGCAGGCTGCGTGTGCGGGGCATCGGCATATGGTGGCGAGCCGGTCCGCGATCGCCGACGACCGCGACACGTGGAGGCCTGGCTGGCAAATTGCGAACTCTAGGGCAGGCTCGAACGCCGCAACCCGCGGCGGACGATTAGCGAGCTGGACATGCCGGGTTCCGCGAGACCCTCGAGGCCATGCTCGCCGATGCCTGTGGGTCCCGCAGGATCGCGGTGCGCGATGCTGCCAGCATCACCCTCCAAGCGGAGGTAGAGGGGCTCAAGACCGCCTAGGGGCACGAGCTGAAGGCGAGCCTCTAGAAGCAGCGCTCTCGGAGGTGATGGCAGTTGCAGTCCGATTATCATGATAATCTTCTGGTTGTGCTTTACCGTACGGTGCAAAGGGGAGCCTTAGTGTTGGACAAACCTTTCGGTGCTGAGGTCAACCGATCATCCGTGTTTGCGCATGCGGGTTCCCAGTGGGGCTTGCGCACGCCCAACTCGCCCCTGGCAACAGCTGGGCGCTAGAGCGTTGAAGGCCTGCTGGCGGAGTTGGCCGCAGGCGCGGACTTGAGCTGCTGTATATCCGTGGCTGCTCCTACTCCTAATGTATTGTGCTCCAACCTCTATTCTCACCTAATTTGCTCTGCTCTCTCTCCCCTATTATGTTCCACTGTGCTCGACTCTGTTCTGCTCTGCTCTACTCCTTCTCTATTTCAGCTCTACTCCATTCCTACTCCGCTCTCCACTAATCTACTCTGCTCTATTCTGCTCTACTCTACTCCTCCGTTATTGTAATTCATGTTGCTCCATTCTCTACTCGACTGATCTACCACCTGTCCTACTCCTCTGCTCTGTTCTGTCTACCCTGTTCTATTCGACCGACCTTACCCGATTGCTCTACTCGGCTCCAAAGCAACTCCCGCTCTACTCTCCTCTGCTCTATTTGACTCTGCTCTAGCCTGTTCTACTTTACTGTACGCTACGCTAGTCTGCTCAACTCTACTCATCTACTCTTCTCTACTATGCTCTACTGTACTCTACTTCTGAGTTCGACGATTGTTGTGCCAGTGTTGGGACGCAATTGGAGCAGCCACTGAAAACCGTTGGAATAGCAGAGGAAGCCATGCGGGTAAAGAGGAATCAGTCAGAGGGATCCGTGCGGATGTAAAGGAAACCAGTCGGATAGCAGAGGAATGCATGCGCAACAGAGGAAGGCCTGCGCAACATCTAATCATGTAGGGGCAACATAAAAAGCCATGCGCATAGCAGAGGAATCCATGCGCAACAAAGAACACCATGCGCGACAGAGGACGCGCGTAGGGCAACATAGAGGGGGTATCAGTGGACCAGTTCTTTACGCGCAATCTTGATTCGACAAACTACACTAATGTGCACATGGCTGTGCTCCCACTCCTGTCGGTTTGGCGCCTTCGCCCCCCCCCCCCCCCCCCCCCCCCCCCCGAAAGTTCTGCACCAAACGTCACCCTTGCCCGTGGTAGATTCGCATCGCGGCGACCGGCGGCGACCCCGCCGCATGCCTTCAATGTTTAACGCCGCCGGCGACCCAGAACGGGTCGACGTTGAACGAGCCGACGTTTCGGAAGCGGCCGATCGTTGAGGGCTGAGCGACTCCCGCGATGTCGGGAACCAACGCTGGGGTCGGCACGACACGAATTTGCCGTAGGGCCATTCCTTCTGATGCAAATCCTGGGATGTCAAATTCTGATTTTGCCCTGGTCCGAAATCCAGCTTCATCCGGCTTAATCCCGCTTCATCCGGCCTCATCCCGCCTAGTCCCGCTCAGTCCAGCTTAATCCCGGTTCGTCCGAGGCCCACTCCGGCGCAACAGCCCCCAATGGGGCTTAATCCTCCTTAACCCCGCCGACGAAGACCTCCTGCGGCAAGTTCGCGACGAACTTGCCGTAGGGCCATGCGCCTGCGCGTCGCCGAGCGAGGCCCCGAGCGGCGAGGCCCCGAGAGGTGGCGGAGCCGCCGCAGCTCGCGGCCCACGCGCGCGCCGCCTCGGGGCCTGCGAGTGCGGTCGCCGCCCCGGCCGCTCCCGGGGACTCGGCCGACACGAGCGGCAGGCCGTTTGCACGTCGTCGTCGTCGTGTTCGTCGTCGTCGTCGTCGCCCTTGTTGCCGCGGTCGCCGAGCTCGTCATCGTCGCCGTCCTTGTCGCGGTCGCCGAGGTCGTCGCCCGCCCGCCGCCGCCGCAGCCGTCGTTTTCGTCGTCGTCGTCGTCCTCGTCGTCGCGGTGGTCGTGATCGTCGTCGTCGTCGTCGTCGCCCGTCTTTGTCGCGGTCGTCGCAGAGGTCGTCGTCGTCGCCGTCTTTGTCGCGGTCGCCGAGGTCGCCGTCGCCCGCCGCCGCCGCCGCAGCCGTCGTTGTCGTCGTCGTCGTCGTCGTCGAGGTGGTGGTCGTCGTCGTCGGCGTCGCCGTCTTTGCCGCGATCGCCGAGGTCGTCGTCGTCGTGGTCGTCGTCGTCGTCGTCGTCGCCGTCTTGGTCGCGGTCGCTGAGGTCGTCGCCCGCCGCCGCCGCCGCAGCCGTCATTATCGTCGTCGTCGTCGACGTCGCCGTCGTCGAAATTGTCGTGATCGTCGTCGTCGTCGTCGTCACCCTTGTTTCCGCAGTCGCCGAGGTCGTCGTCGCCGCCGCAGCCGTCGTCGTCGTCGTCGTCGTCGTCGTCGAGGTTGTCGTCGTCGTCGTCGTCGCCGCCGTCTTCGTCGCGGTCGCCGAGGTCGTCGACCGCCTGTCGCTGCCGCAGCCGTCGTTGTCGTCGTCGTCGTCGTCGACATGGTCGTGATCGTCGTCGTCGTCGTCGTCGGCGCCGCTGTCGTCGTCGTCTCGCCCTTGTTGCCGCAGTCGCCGAGGTCCTCGTCGTCGTCGTCGTCGCCGTCTTTGTCTCGGTCGCCGAGGGCGTCGTCGACCGCCGCCGCCGCAGGCCTCGTCGTCAACGTGGTCGTCGAGGTTGTCGTCGTCGTTGTCGTCATCGTCGTCGCCCGTGTTGCGCTTGTTGCCGCGGTCGTCGTCGTCGTCGTCGTCGTCGCCGTCTCTGTCGCGGTCGCTGAGGTCGTCGTCGCCCGCCGCCGCCGCAGCCGTTGTTGTCGTCGTCGTCGTCGCCGTCGTCGCCGAGGTGGTCGTGATCGTCGTCGTCGTCGTCGTGGCCGCCGCCGTCGTCGTCGTCGTCGTCGTCGTCGCCGTCTTTGCCGCGGTCGCCGAGGTCGTCGTCGTCGCCGCCGTCTTTGCCGAGGTCGCCGAGGTCGCCGTCGCCCGCCGCCGCCGCCGCCGCAGCCGTCGTCGTCGTCGTCGTCGTCGTCGTCGTCGTTGTCGTCGTCGTCGTCGTCGTCGTCGTCGTCGTCGAGGTGGTCGTCGTCGCCGTCGCCGTCGCCGTCTTTGTCGCGGTCGGCGAGGTCGTCGTCGCCTGCCGCCGCCAGTGCAGCCGTCGTCGTCGTTGTCGTCGTCGTCGCGGTCGTCGTCGTCGTCGTTGTCGCTGTCGCCGAGGTCATCGTCTTCGTTGTCGTCGCCGTCTTTGTCGGGGTCGCCGAGGTCGCCGTCGCCCGTCGCCGCCGCAGCCGTCGTTGTCGTCGTCTTCGTCGTCGTCGTCGAGGTGGTCGGCGTCGTCGTCGTCGCCGTTTGTTGCCGCGGTCGCCGAGGTTGTCGTCGTTTTCGTCGTCGTCGAGGTGGCCGTCGTCGTCGGCGTTGTCGTCGTCGTCGTCGCCGTCGTTGCCGCGGTCGCCGAGGTCGTCGTCGCCGTCGTCGCCGTCTGTGTCGCGGTCGCCGAGGCCGTCGTGGCCCGCCGCCGCCGCAGCCGTCGTTGTCGTCGTCGTCGTCGAGGTGGTGGTCGTGATCGTTGTCGAGGTCGTCGTCGTCGTCGTCGTCGTCGTCGTCGTTGTCGCCCTTGTTGCCGCGGTCGCCGAGGTCGTCGTCGTCGTCGTCGTCGCCGTCTTTGTCGGGGTCGCCGAGGTCGTCGTCGCCCCCCGCCGCCGCTGCAGCCGTCGTCGTTGTCGTCGTCGTCGTCGTCGTCGCCGTCGTCCTCGACGTCGCCGTCGTTGAGGTGGTCATGATCGTCGTCAGCGTGTTCGTCGTCGTCGTCGCCGTCCTTGCCGCGGTCGCCGATGTCGTCGTCGTCGTCGCCATTTTTGCCGCGGTCGCCGAGGTCGTCGTCGCCCGCCGCCACCGCCGCAGCCGTCGTCGTCGCGGTCGCCGTGGTCGCCGTCGCCGTCGCAGAGGTGGTCGTGATCGTCGCCGTCGTCGCCGTCGTCGTCGTCGTCGTCGTCGTCGCCTTCGCCGTCGTCGTCGCGGTCGCCGAGGGCGTCGTCGTCGTCGTCGCCGTCTTTGTCGCGGTCGCCATGGTCGTCGTCGCCCGCCGCCGCCGCAGCCGAGGTCGTCGTCGTCGCCGTCGTCGTCGTCGAGGTGTTCGTGATCGTCGTCGTCGTGTTCGTCGTCGTCGTCGCCGTCTTTGCCGCGGTCGCCGAGGTCGTCGTTGTCGTCGTCGTCGTCGTTGTCGCCGTCTTCGTCGCGGTCGCCGAGGTCGTCGCCGCCGTCGTCGTCGAAGTGGTCGTCGTCGTCGTCGTGTTCGTCTTCGTCGTCGTCTTCGTAGCCCCCGTTGCCGCGATCGCCGAGGTCATCGTCGTCGTCGTCGTCGCCGTCTTTGTCGTGGTCGCCGAGGTCGTCGTCGCCCGCCGCCGCCGCAGCCGTCGTTGTCGTCGTCGTCGTCGTCGTCGTCGTCGCCGCCGTCGTCGTCGAGGTTGTCGTGATCGTCGGCGTCGTCGTTGTCGTCGTCGCCGTCTCTGCTGCGGTCGCCGAGGTCGTCGTCGTCGTCGTCGCCGTCTTTGCCGCGGTCGCCGAGGTCGTCGTCGCCCACCGCCGCCGCAGTCGTCGTTGTCGCCGTCGTCGTCGAGATTGTCGTCGTCGTCGTTGTGTTCGTCGTCGTCGTCGCCGTCGTTGCCGCGGTCGCCCTCGTCGTCGTCGTCGTCGTCGCCGTCTTTGCTGCGGTCGCCGAGGTCGTCGTCGCCCGCCGCCGCCGCCGCAGCCGTCGTTGTTGTCGTCGTCGTCGTCTTCGTCGAGGTGGTAGTCTTCTTCGTCGAGTTCGTCTTCGTCGTCGTCGTCGCCCTTGTTGCTGCCGTCGCCGAGGTCGTCGTCGTCGTCGTCGCCATCTTTGTCGCGGTCGCCGAGGTCGTCGTCGCCAACCGCCGCCGCATCCGTCGATATCGTCGTCGTCGACATCGTCGTCGGCGAGGTGGTCGTGATCGTCGTCGTCGTCGTCGCCGTCGTTGCCGCGGTCGCCGAGGTCATCGTCGTTGTCGTCACCGTGTTTGTCTCGGTCGCCGAGGTCGTCGTCGCCCGCCGCCGCCGCCGCAGCCGTCGTCTTCGTTGTCGTCGTCGTCGTCGTCGAGGTTGTCGTCGTCGTCGTCGTGTTCGTCGTCGTCGTTGTCGTCGTCGTCGCCGTCGTCGCTGCGGTCGTCGTCGTCGCCGTCGTCGTCGTCGTCGTCGTCGTCGTCGTCGCCGCCGTCTTTGTCGCGGTCGCCATGGTCGTTGTCGCCCGCCGCCGCCGCCGCAGCCGTCGTCGTCGTCGTCGTCGTCGTCGTCGTCGTCGTCGCCGTCGTCGTCTTCGTCGAGTTGGTTGTCGTTGTCTTCGTGTTCGTCGTCCTCGTCATCCTTGCTGCCGTGGTCGCCGAGGTTGTCGTCGTCGCCGTCTTTGTCGCGGTCGCTGAGGTCGTCGTCGCCCCCCGCCGCCGCAGCCGTCGTTATCGTCGTTGTCGTCGTCATCGTCGTCGTCGAGGTTGTCGTGATCGTCGTCGTCGTCGTCGCCGTCGTCGCCGTCGTTGCCGCGGTCGCCGAGGTCGTCGTCATCTTCGTCGCCGTCTTTGTCGCGGTCGCCGAGGTCGTCGTCGCCCGCCGCCGCCGCAGCCGTCGTCGTTGTCGTCGTCGTCGTCGTCGTCGTTGTCGTAGTCGTCGAGGTTGCCGTGGTCGAGGTCGTCGTCGTATTCGCCGTCGTCGTCGTCGCCGTTGTCGTCCTCGTCGTCGTCGTCGTCGTCGTCGCCGCCGTCGTCGTCGTCGTCGTAGTGGTCGTCGTCGTTGTCGTCGTCGCCGTCGTTGTCGTCGTCGTCGAGGTCGTCGTCGAGGGCGTCGGTTCGGCAGGTCGCTTCCGCCGTGGGAGCCCTACGAGGAGGAGGCCTTCGAGCGCATGCCGAAGGTTCCGGGTGCGCCCCCAGAGGTCAAATCCATAATTGCTGCTGCGTGGCAGTGCCTTGGGACCTCGAGGGGTGCCCGCTCCCCTAGGCGGTAAACTATCCACGTCTCCATGTCCGCCGTTCCCGCGGGACAGGGGGCAAGATTTCGAAATTGTTGGATATGTTAGGTGTTCGATGATGGAACCCTTCTGAACGCAACCACTCAGATTCCGCGCCGAAGACCGCTGGGCCGGGGACCGCCGAAGACTGTCAGAAGTCTACCGGAACCAGCGAAGACCGCCGAGAGCCGTCCGAAGACCGCCGAAGACGGCCCAGGAACGATAGGCATTCAGGGGCTCATGGTCGACCACGTAAGATAGGGATTTCTCCTGCCAGTGCATTGGCCGACCGAGCCCCCTCCGAGCTTCCTGCTTCCTCGGCGGACGGCAGGAAGGCGCAGGGCAGGGGTGGCGGCCCTCCCCTCTGTGCTATTTCGGCGCACCCTTCGCACGCTTCGCGGCCCGAAGGCCCAAATGTCGCCGCCCGCATGCGTCTCCGACACTAATTTCAGCACACCCCTTGCACGTTTCGTGGCCCCATGGGGAGCTTCACCCAATGCCCACATGGTGCCGTTCGTCGCGCATTTCGGCACACCCCTCGCACGTTTCGTGACTCCATATTGAGCTTCACCCAAGACCCAAATGGTGACGCCCACATGCGGCCCCGCCATATATTTAGGCACGCCCCTCACAAGTTTTGTAGCCCCATTGGCAACTCCACCCACGACCCAAATGGTGCCGCCCGCTTGCGTCCCCGCTATCCATTTCGGCACACCCCTCACACGTTGCGTGGCCCCATAGGGGGCTCCACCCAAGGCCCCAGGTGGTGCCGTCCTCCGCATGCAGCCTCGCCACACATTTCGGCACACCCCTCGCACGTTTCGTGGCCGCGCAAGTAGCTTCACCGAAGGCCCCACGTGGTGCCGTTCGCATGCGTCCTCGCCACCCATTTCGGCACACCCCTCGCACGTTTCGTGACTCCATAGGGGGCTCCACCCAATGCCCAAATGGTGCCGTCCGCATGCGGTCCCGCCACTCATGTCGGGACATCCCTCAGACGCTTCGTGGCTTCATAGGAAGCTCTACCCAAGGCCCCACGTGGTGCCATCCGCATTCGCCCCCGCCACCCATTTCGGCACACCCCTCGCAGAGTTCTTGGACCCATAGGGCGCTGCACCCAAGTCCCCAATGGTGCCGTCCGCATGCGGCCCCGCCACACATTTCGGCACACCCCTCGCACGTTTCGTGACTCCATGAGCTACACCCAACGCCCACACGTTGCCTTCCGCATGCGTCCCCGCCACAGATGTCGGATCATGTCGGCACATCCTTCACACGTTTCGTGGCCCCATGGGGGGCCCCACCCGAGGTTCCACGTTGTGCCGTCCGCATACGGTCCTGCCACACATTTCGGCACACCCTTCGCACACTTCGTGGCCGCGCAAGTAGCTTCACCGAAGGCCCAAATGGTGCAGTCCGCATGCGGTCCCGCCGCTCATGTCGGGACATCCCTCAGACGCTTCGTGGCTTCATAGGAAGCTCTACCCAAGGCCCCACGTGGTGCCATCCGCATTCGCCCCCGCCACCCATTTCGGCACACCCCTCGCAGAGTTCTTGGATCCATAGGGCGCTGCACCCAAGTCCCCAACGGTGCCGTCCGCATGCGGTCCCGCCACACATTTAGGCACACCCCTCGCACGTTTCGTGACTCCATGAGCTCCACCCAATGCCCAAACGTTGCCTTCCGCATGCGTCCCCGCCACACACGTCGGCACATCCTTCACACGTTTCGTGGCCCCATATGGGGGCCCCACCCGAGGTTCCACGTTGTGCCGTCCGCATGCGGCCCCGCCACACATTTCGGCACACCCTTCGCACACTTCGTGGCCGCGCAAGTAGCTTCACCGAAGGCCCAAATGGTGCAGTCCGCATGCGGTCCCGCCGCTCATGTCGGGACATCCCTCAGACGCTTCGTGGCTTCATAGGAAGCTCCACCCAAGGCCCCACGTGGGTCCACATTCGCCCCCGCCACCCATTTCGGCACACCCCTCGCAGAGTTCTTGGACCCGTAGGGCGCTGCACCCAAGTCCCCAAATGGTGCCGTCCGCATGCGGCCCCGCCACACATCGCGGCACACCCCTCGCACGTTTCGCGACTCCATGAGCTCCACCCAATGCCCACACGTTGCCTTCCGCATGCGTCCCCGCCACACATGTCGGCACATCCTTCACACGTTTCGTGGCCCCATATGGGGGCCCCACCCGAGGTTCCACGTTGTGCCGTCCGCATGCGGCCCCGCCACACCTTTCGGCACACCCCTCGCACACTTCGTGGCCGCGCAAATAGCTTCACCGAAGGTCCAAATGGTGCTGTCCGCATGCGCCCCCGCCACACATGTCGGGACATCCCTCTGACGCTTCGTGGCTTCATAGGAAGCTCCACCCAAGGCCCCACGTGGGTCCGCACTCGTCCCCGCCACCCATTTCGGCACACCCCTCGCAGAGTTCTCGGACCCATAGAGCGCTGCACCCAAGTCCCCAAATGGTGCCGTCCGCATGCGGCCCCGCCACACATCGCGGCACACCCCTTGCACGTTTCGTGACTCCATGAGCTCCACCCAGTGCCCAAACGTTGCCTTCGGCATGCGCCCCCGCCACAGATGTCGGCACATTCTTCACACGTTTCGTGGCCCAATAGGGGACCCCACCCGAGGTTCCACTGTGTGCCGTCCGCATGCGGCCCCGCAACACATTTCGGCACACCCCTCACACACTTCGTGGCCGCGCAAGTAGCTTCACCGGAGGCCCAACTGGTGCCGTCCGCATGCGCCCCCGCCACACATGTCGGGACATCCTTCTGACGTTTCGTGGCTTCATAGGGAGCTCCACCCGAGGCCCCACGTGGTGCCGTCCGCACTCGTCCCCGCCACACATTTCGGCACACCCCTCGCAGAGTTCTTGGATCCATAGGGCGCTGCACCCAAGTCCCCAACGGTGCCGTCTGCATGCGGCCCCGCCACACATTTCGGCACACCCCTCGCACGTTTCGTGACCCCATGAGCTCTAACCAATGCCCAAACGTTGCCTTCCGCATGCGTCCCCGCCACACATGTCGGCACATCCTTCACACGCTTCGTGGCCCCATAGGGGGCCCCACCCGAGGTCCACGCTGTGCCGTCCGCATGCGGCCCCGCCACACATTTCGGCACACCCCTCGCAGAGTTCTTGGACCCATAGGGCGCTGGACCCAAGTCCCCAATGGTGCCGTCCGCATGCGGCCCCGCCACATATTTCGGCACACCCTTCGCACGTTTCGTGACCCCATGAGCTCCACCCAATGCCCGAGTGTTGCCTTCCGCATGCGTTCCCGCCACACATGTCGGCACTTCCTTCACACGCTTCGTGGCCCCATAGGGGGCCCCACCCGAGGTTCCACGTTGTGCCGTCCGCATGCGGCCCCGCCACACCTTTCGGCACACCCCTCGCACACTTCGTGGCCGCGCAAGTAGCTTCACCGAAGGCCCAAATGGTGCCGTCCGCATGCGCCCCCGCCACACATGTCGGGGTCGGGACATCCCTCTGACGCTTCGTGGCTTCATAGGGCGCTCCACCCAAGGCCCCACGTGGTGCCATCCGCATTCGTCCCCGCCACACATTTCGGCACACCTCTCGCAGAGTTCTCGGACCCATAGGGCCCTGCACCCAAGTCCCCAATGGTGCCGTCCACATGCGGCCCCGCCACACATTTCGACTCCCCCCTCGCACGCCTCGTGGCCGCACACGGAGCTTCACCGAAGGCTCCACGTGGTGCCGTCCGCATGCGGTCCCGCCACACATGTCGGGATATCCCTCATACGCTGCGTGGCTTCATAGGAAGCCCCACCCAAGGTTCCACGTGGTGCCGTCTGCATTAGTCCCCGCCACCAATTGCGGCACACACCCGCAGAGTTCTTGGACACATAGGGAGCTCCACCGACGGCCCCAATGGCGCCGTCCGCATGCGGTCCCGCCACACTTTTCGGCATGGAGCTTCACCGAAGGCCCACTGGCGCCATCCGCATGCGTCCCCGCCACACCTTTCGGCACACCCCTCGCACGCTTCGTGGCCGCACAAGTAGCTTCACCGAAGGCCCACATGGTTCCGTCCGCATGCGGTCCCGCCACACATGTCGGGACATCCCTCAGACGCTTCGCGGCTTCATAGGAAGCTCCACCCAAGGCCCCACGTGGTGCCGTTCGTATGCGTCCCCGCAACCCATGTCGGCACACCCCTTCACACGCTTCGTGGCCCATAGGGAGCTCCACCCAACGCCCAAATGTTGCCGTCCGCTTTCGTCCCCGCCACACATTTCGGCACACCCCTCGCACGTTTCGTGGCCCTTACAAGAAGCTTCGCCGAAGGCTTACGCTGCACCCTCCACATGTGTCCTTGCCACCCACTGCGGCACACGCGTTAAACGTTTAGTGCCCCCGTCGGGAGCTCGACCGAAAGCTCCAGTGGCGACGTGAACATGGGTCCTCCACCCATGTCGGCATACCCCTTACACGGCTCATGGCCCCACAGGGAGTTCCACCCAATATCCCAGCGCCACCGTTCACATGTGTTCCCCCCGCCCATCCCCTCACATGCTTCCCACGCTTCGTGGCCCCACAGGCATCTCCACCCAAGGCCCCATGAGGAGATCCACTGATGGCGATACTTACAGCGACGGTACTCACAACTGCATAGGGTTGGGTCCATCCCTCGGATACGTTCATTGTCCCTTTGACTCGCCATCCGAATGTTCCTCGATCAGTACAGCGTAGCCTGCCCGGAGAGTGCGGTGCATACGTACTTCGCTAGAGTCTGCGAAGTCGTCCATGGTCTGCGGCTACACTGCTTGCCAAGGGCAACCCGTGTGATGGGAGTTCGCAGGAGGAGGAGGAGGAGAAGAGGAGGAGGAGGCGGGTAAAGAGAGGGGGATGAGGAGGAGGAAGAGGAGGAGTAGGAGGAGGAGGAGGAGGAGGAGGAAGAGGAGGAGGAGGAGGAGGAGGAGAAGGACGAGGAGGAGGAGGATGACCAGTGTAAACCCAAGAGTCATCAACGATGCTGGAATTAATCCTGCCTCCAAGCTCCCTCTTCATAGGCCCCTACAACGGTTCATTGCCATTGAGGAAACTGCTTCGTTGGAAGACAACCGTTTGAAGATCCCGAGTCATGCCAAAAAGGTTCTCTGAATTTCAATGGCACGTATCAACCCGACTACTGCGGTTCGACGATCTGGAATCGTGCCATACACCGCGAATCAACATAATTGTTGCACCCGCGTAATCCTGAGTCCTTCCACAACACTATTTCTGGTACGTTGGTCATGGGAATCCGTGGGATCCTCAGCAATATTTGAAAACGAGTGTGCGCGGCGCTAAGACGAGAGCCACATTTCGAAAACGACCCGCCCTCAATCCGTGAAACTTCTACAAATTTTGAAAACGAATGTGCGCGGCGCTCAGGCGAGAGGCACATTTTGAAAACGACCCGCCCTCAATCCGTGAAACGCTTGCAAGTTTTGAAAACGAATGTGCGCGGCGCTCAGGCGAGAGCCACATTTTGACAACCACCCGCCCTCAATCGGTGAAGTCTTTGTAAATGTTTACGAATGTGCGCGGCGCTCAGGCGAGAGGCACATTTTGAAAATGACCCGCCATCAATCCGTGAAGTTCTTGCAAATTTTGAGAACGAATGTGCGCGGCGCTCAGGCGAGAGGCACATTTCGAAAACGACCCGCCCTCAATCCGTGAAGCTCTTGCAAATTTTGAAAAAGAATTTGCGCGGCGCTCAGGCGAGAGCCACATTTTGAAAACCACCCGCTCCCATCTGTGAAATTGTTGTCACATTTTAAGCTTCAAGGTCATGAATGGTGAGGAAGTCTCAGGCGACACGCCCGGCACGCCCCGAAAATTGGCCTCGGGGTGCGACAGGGAGAAGTTATGTGTGAGGAGAAGGAATGGAGGAGGAGGAGGAGGTGGAGGAGGTGGAGGAGGAGGAGGAGGAGGGGGAGGATGAGGAGGAGGAGGAGGAGGAGGAAAGGAGGAGGGAAGAGGAGGAGGAGGAGGAGGAGGGGGAGGAGGAGGAGAAGGAGGAGGAGGATGAGTAGGAGGAGGGTGAGGAGGACGAGGAGGAGGAGGAGGAGAGAGGAGGAGGAGGAGGAGGAGGAGGAGGAGGAGAAGGAGGAGGAGGAGGAGGAGGAGGAGGAGGAGGAGCAGGAGGAGGATGAGGAAGAGGAGGAGGAGGAGCAGGAGGAGGAGGTGGAGGATGAGGAGGAAGGAGGGAGGAGGAGGAGGAGGAGGAGGAGGAGGAGGAGGAGGAGGAGGAGGAGGAGGAGGAGGAGGAGGAGGAGAAGGGGATTCTCGGGAGAGGGATGGGGGAATTGGTATGACGGCGAGGATGATGTCTTCCGTGTCTCTGCCGTCCGTTTGTTCTCGATCGCTGTGGATGGGCGGTTGACGGTGGGGCAGGGGGCAGAAGGAAGGAGGTCCATTGCCCTGGAAAAGGTCGGCGATCCTGCCGAGAGGCCCATGAACATGAAGCAGTTCAAGGACCGCGGGCCTGGAATGTAGAAGAGAGTCGGGAGTAGAGCGGAATAATAATAAGAAAGGATGACGCATGGTGAAAGGCCGAAGGACATTGATAATGAGGGAGCAGGATGAATACTTGCCTGCCTCCCATCCTCTCCTCCATAATCACGCCTCCCTGCTTATCTCCGGTCCTCCCTTCCCGCCTCCCTCCCTTCCGTCTGCCCCTCTCTCCTTTTCCTCCTTCTCCTCCTCCTCCTCCACCGTAGCCGTTTCGGCTCAAGTTCCCAATGTTGGCTGGCACAACGCCAGCAGGTTTTCCATGTATACTGCTAGTCCGAGGCCAGCTCAGGAGCTTCCTTCGGGCCCTCTTACATATTCACGCGGAATATTCTCGAGGTGCCGCGGCCTCACTGCGTACTCGCCCAGTTGCTGAAGTGCAGGCCGAGGTGCAGATTCCATGCCCGAACACGACAGAGATCGCTCTCCTCGAGGTGGCAGAGATCCATGGCAAGAAGCGGCTACTGGCAAGAAACTCGACTCCATCAAGCTCGAATTGGAACAGCTCCTCTCAGCGCAGGTCGCCGTCGCCTCGGCCAAGTTCCAGGCCACTGCCGAGCGAGTCACGGCCGACGCTCAAACCGCATTTCCTGCACAAGGTCAAGGCGTCGCAGGTGCAGCCTCCGCTAGACAGGACGCCTGTGAAAATGAAATTGTTGAGCTCAAACGCAGTGTGGCCAACGCTGAAGTTGCTTGCCAAACATCCAACAAGTCTGTCGAGGAGATTCAGGCCACGCTCGCCATCGCTGAAGCCAAGGTTCCCAACCTGACCATCGCCAACATCGGAGATGGGAATCGACCTGGACACATCGGTCCCTGGCGGTGCGGATCTACAGTTGACACCACCAAGGACAAGCCACAGCAGGCTCTCACGCCTGGGTTCGCAGCTGCAGGAGTGGACATGGCCAACGTGCGCTTCAACAACGCTGCCAATGGCAAGCGAGTCTCCAACACGCGCATGGGAGATGTCAATATCGTTCGATATCGCGCCCAAGCCCTTCACAACCATCTTCGGATCGGACGCGACCGGCGAAAGTTTGTCACCTCCAGCGGGAACATCGAACATGACCTCTTCGTCAGCGCAGGCAAGGGCCCCAAACTGGTACGACGAGTAGTGCAACCCAAGCGACTCGCCAAGCTCACCGCCGCCGCCTTCCTCGCGCTCGACAGTCGCACGCACAGGACTGACGCGTTCCTTTGAGTCGACAACGAGCCTATCGTCAGCATTTATGCGTGCAGCTCTCCTTCGGAGCCGACTCGAGTCCAATGGTCTGATGCAGCCGTTCGACGCGGAGTTACCGAGCAGCATTGCAACGGCCTGGGTGTTGCCCCCGGCAATGCCCTGGAAGCCGTGTCGTGGCTTTAACACGCGCTGGACACCATGGTTGCATGCAGCTTCGAAGGCGGACTCCTCCATTGTCAGCTGGAACGCGCGGGCGCTCTGGCACTCCGACCCCCGTAGAAGGGGCATCAAGCGGAAGATGTTGGGGCCGCGCTCCAAGAATCCCCCCATCATCGCGCTCCAGGAGACACGTGGCACAAGGATTTCCCTGCGCCAAATGGCCAACTCCACGGGGGCCAAGTACCAAGCGCACCACAACCCCATTCCTGACAACCTCGCCGCTGGTGGCGTTGCCTTTCTCGTGCCCAAGCACTCCCCTAGGCCTGGCGATCTCGACCAGTCTGCCAAGCCCGACATTCAGTTATCCGCAATCGTTCCTGGCCGTGCCGCTCTTCTTCGCATCGCCGATGTCACGAAGCAGTGCGCTCGCATCTATTTGAACGTTCACAGTCACGACCTTTCTCGCGTTGACCGTGCTGCCATCAGAACGCCTGCCACTCCGCGAACAACGGGGCCCTGGCCGACCCCGGCCACATCCTGTTCTTCATGCTTGGGGACTTCAATCTCTCGGAGCACCCCGCGCGCAGCCTCGCTCGGCCCATTGGCATTCATGCGAGCGAGCCAATGCCAGCCTACTTTTTTGAAACAGTTATTCCCCCAGCTTGCCGAGATTACCGCCGCGTCGACCACTCGCCGCTGCGCAGCGAACTCCACGGAGTCATGCATCGATTGTTTCTTCGCCTCCTTCGCCGCCCACGACGTCCCGCTGGTCGAGACCACCATGGCGATTGACGGCTCACCACGGGAACGCCATGGCAGCCCAGCCAGCGACCACAAGGTCATCCATGTGCGAGTCCGACCTCGCGCGAAGCGCCCACATGCTGAACGAGGCATCCCTGCTTACCTCTTCCAGTCCAAGTTCTACGCGATTGCCATCGACAACCTGACCCAGAACACCGATTTCGACGACCTCGCCCCGATCGGCAAGTGGAAAGCGCTCAAGGAGAACATGACTACGGCTGCTTCTCAAGCTTGCGACGCACTCGCGCTCCTCCATCCGACCTGCTCAAAGCCGACCACAACACCATCTCCAGGGAGGTCAGCTCCATGACCATGCGCAGTATTGCCCGAGTGGCGTGGTACCAAGATGCCAACCTCGCCCGCATTCTCATCGGCAAATCGACACTCGGCGCGAAGTACCTCCAGATGAACGTGGCCGCAACATCCCCGCACTGCTACTCTATCATCGCGTTGGAGGATCCTGCTGTCTTCGCGGCTGACGTCGCCACCGTCGACGCCGCGGCCTCCGACGAGCGCCGAGCTCAGGCTGCCGCCGCTGCACGTCATGCTTTTCAAGAACAACAGCTGCAACGAGGCAACAGGTGGCGGGATCGAGCCGACACTGAGCGTAGGAAATGAGGAGTTGTGTAAACCCTTTTCCAGGCGCCTGGTGCTTGCTGGTATCCGACTGTCCCGCGGCATTTCCTACTCGCTGCTCAAGGACCCAATGGGCATGCACTCCGCCGTTCAAGCCCACTGGATGCCGATCTTCGCCGACAAGCCCTTTGACACCAACGCCGTGCATTCCCACCTCGACACGGTCTTCCCCTACAAGCCGATCTTCGACGCCGCGATCCCTGACGAGCGCGACCTCTTCCAGGCGGCGAAGAACGCGTCGGGCGCCGCACCTGGACCTGATGGCCTTCCTTACCGCGCTTGGCTCGTCACTCCCAACAGTTTCTCCATCCTCGCCGAGCTCGCCACTCACCTCAGCAACGGCCTCGCCATTCCGCGCGCGCTGATACGCGCCATGATGGCCTTTTCTACCGAAAGGAGATGTACCCGCTGGGCAATCCGAATGCACTCGTGAACCGCTGGGCAATCCGAATGCACTCGTGAACCGGGACAGCTGCGCCCCTTCGCCATGAAGAACACCGGCGTGGAGATCATCGCCTCCGCCACGAACAGAATCTCTCAAGCCGCCGATGAAAAAGATCTCGCCTATCCAACGTGGGCGTGTTCCTGGACGCCAGTTTCTGGGCGACATTGTCGAAGTCGACGCGTGCGGCCGCAACAGCAGCACCTAGCCTGATGCTCGAGCTCTTCAGCCGTGCTTCCTGAGCATGGATATCGCTGCCACCTTCCCGAGCCTCTCGCACGCCTGGATGTGGAATGTCTTGCAGCGCTGGGGTGCACGCGGCCGCATCCTTACCCTGGTGCAGGCGTTCTACCACGCGCCGATCGCGCTGCTCGAAATGGGGGGCGCGCGCCGACCGCTCTTTCTCGCATCCAGCGGGTTCGCGCAAGGCTGCCCCTTCAGTGGCGCCATCTGGGCCCTGATCTTCGGCCCCGCGCTGATCGGCATCAATGACTCCTTCAAGCGCAGCCAAGTGGGCATTGCCACGGCGTGTGCTGATGATCTCGGCTGCTCGCCGGTCTTCGCGACGTCGAAGGATTGAGCCCTCACTTGTCTGCGATTGCACAACGTGCTGGCTTGCATCTTCAACCGCGCAAATGCGTCCTGGTACCCGTCTGGACCATTGCCTCCTCCGACGTGATCGACAGCCTAAAGGACACTCTGGCTCACATCCATGCCGGCTGGGCCCTCTTCATGTTCGAGTCCTCTGCCAAGTACCTCGGCGCGTACATGGGCCCAGGTGTGACGAGCGTGCTCAATGGGCGGGCCCTGCCGCCAAGTGGCTTTACCTTGCCCAGATCCTCGGCGAGTCTCACGCCCCGATCCAACATAACATCAAATCGTGCAACTCCTCTGCGCTGACGACGCTATCCTGCGTTGGCCAACTCTTCCCTGCTCCAGAATCGATATTCAGCCGCGAGATCCACGTCCTCCACAAGATAATCCGATCGCCGCTCTCGGCCTTCACCAAACTGGACATCCTGGGTCTGGAGAACTGGGCTGGTGCTGACATCCCCGCGGTCGCCGAGGTGCTGATGAATGTGGCGCTGTGGAGGTCTGCTACCTCCACCATCAAGGTTTGGCCCCCGCTGATCGACATGCTCAGCGAGTCCGCCACGGTGAACCTCCCCATGGTCGCGACGGTGAAGGGTCACTGGTCTGCCGGATGCTGGGCCTCGCCCATCTCGATCGCCCAGCACCTCCAAGCTGCGAAGAACGGCACCGCCTTCCCAACGGGCAAGAGCTCCATCTTCATGGCTCTGCAAACGATGAAGAACGCAGCCCGCGCGCATCAACCACTTCGGCTTGCTCGCCGCCGTGCTGCTGCCGCGGCGGTTTCGCCGCCGCGACGTGCCGCCCTTGTTTCTGCGCCGGGTGTGCCTCGACGCAATTCACTTCGATCGAAGTGCCTTGCCGCCCTCCAGACTCACTTGTACGAGGGCAACTTCGACGTCACCATCGCGAAGCGCCTGAAGGCCTGGTTCCCGTACGTCCCCATGGCCACCGCCGGGCAGGATCCCACAATAGGTGGTGGACATCAACTGCTCAGCCCTGCGACTCGCGCAATGCTGAATTATACGCTCTCGTTTCCTCATCATTCGACATCACCACCTACTACCTTCCCACCTGCCCCCACACCAGATGAGAGCCAAGACGATCACGCTGCCGCCGCTCGCGAACTTCATGTTCTTTCTGAAGTGCTTGCTCCTTGGGCCTCGGACTGGCTCCCCGACCTGTACATCGTCAACAGGGGCCACTCGCTGCGCCGAGACATCGACTGGGTGGACTGGTGCGAACAATCTGTGCTCCGACATCTTCGCCGATGGAGTATGCGCATCCTTTGCACCGCCTCCTCGGAAGAAGACCTCCGTCGCCGCGCTCGCAACATATGCCGACAGGCCTGGCGCGACTCGGACGCCAACCGCTACGGCAGGGCGAGGTACATGACGAGGACTCCATGCACGTATGACATGCAGGCAGCGTTCAACCTTGCAGGTGAAGAACATCGTCTCCGTCGCCAATGGATACACATGGCCGATGTTGTCTCCGACCCGTCCGACACCACCTGCATTGAGGAGATCAACGAGCACCTGCGTCCAGACGCCATCTCGTTTAACGACCTGACCGCCTTGTACCAGCTTCCGAACAGCGTCCGGATCCATTGGCGGCGCACCCGAGCAGAGATCGCCCGCATGCCCCCATTGCGCCTCTGGCCCACGATGAAGACCCTGGCTGGCGCCCGGTCAACTTCGTGCTGCCTCCACGTCCAACCTGATCGGTGCCCTTGCACTTACGGGTGCAACGCGAACCACGCAACGGACAGCATCTCGCACTACCTCACTTGCCCAAGACAGTGGCACGCGGTGGCATACCCCAGGGGCCGCCCCTCGAACTGCATCTTGGCCCGCCTCGGGATGCACGACAGCTGCCACACCGTTGACCCGAGCGACGAAAACCATGTCTCCCGCGCGATGGTCCGCTTGGCCGTCGCGTGCCGCATGTGCCACACCTACAAGGACTTCCAGGCCTCCTACGACAACGTGAACGCGTTTGAGGCCGCGTCTTACAAGCATCTGAGTGAAGCGCGTGCCGCCGCGCGCCAGGCCCTCCGACTCGGCGCATCGCCGCACGGAGGCCGTAGCATGGGCCCGCCGTCAGCTGCTGATCAGGCTTTCTCTCCTCCCGACCGTCCGCCGTCCCACTCGTCCTCACGTGTTCCTCTCTTCTTGCCGCCCGACCGTGCCTCGTCTCCGCCTCGAAACGTAAACTACGCTGCGAACGCGCCGCCTGTGCCGCTCCGCGTGCCACCTCGCGCTGCCAGCGCAGGTGAAGGCCGCTAGACGTCTGACTTGCCCCCTCCAGGGTTCGTTCGCTCCTTCTCTTCCTCCTCCTCCTCCTCCTCCTTTTCCTCCTCCTCCTCTGCCCCTCACTCCTCTCGTCCCCTTCTCCTTCCTTCCACCTCTACACTCCACTCCCTGCCTTCCCTTCCCCCTACCACTCCCCTCCTCCTCCTCCTCCTCCTCCTCCTCGTTCTCCTCCTTCTCCTCCTCCTCCTCCTCCTCCTCCTCCTCTTCCCTCCCCCGCCTCTGCCCATCCTCGTGCTGCCCTTCGATGCGCGCCCATCTTGGGGCCATCTCCTGACACGGCCGCTGGTGCTGCTAGAGCTGCTGCTGACCGCGCCGATGCTGCTGGTACGGCTGCCGCTGCCACCACTGCTCCTACTCCTGCATGCTGCTTCTGGTGCTGCTGCACCTGCCGCGACAGGCCGCTGCCGATGCTCGCTGCTGGTGCTCGCCGCCGGTGATCCTCCTGCTGCCACTGCTGCGTCTGCTGGCCCCTGCTGCTGCAGCCTGCCGCTGCCGCAACCTGCCGCTGCTGCCGAGGCGGCGGTCCTGCTCCAGCGGGGGTGCAGTCGAGGCGCTGCAGTGAGGACCACTGTGGGCTCAGGAGGGGCGCTGCTTCTCGGGCCGCACTTCGGATCTGGGTCGGGGAGCCCCGTCGTGGCCGAGGCGCGCCCGGGCCAGAGACAAACCCCTCCGCTCCTCTGCGCGGCAGCACGATGGCTCTACCGCTTCAGGCCGTGCGCGTGGCTCGCGCTGAGGTGGGAGCGTCTGGGGCTGCCGCAAGGGTGCGAAGCGAGTCGCGCTTCGCGCTTCGCCCTTCGCGGTCTGGGCGATTTCAGAGCGAGGCGCGAGTCTCTCATCCTGTTCCCAGGGGTGGGGTGGGTGCGAAACCGCGAAGATGATCGCGCTTCGCGGAGCGCGAAGCGCGAATGTAGTTGCCCTAGGAGCATCGTTCCCAGCTGGGAGAGTGGCCGATGCCAAGGCGAGAGAACTTGCAGCTGGCACGAGGGTTAAGACCAGCCCCACTTCGACGGGGCTGCCCTCCATGCTTTCTTCGTGCCTGGGCCCCCGCAGCCTTGGACGGCTCTCCGCTCCTGGTAGCCCAGTGGGGCATTTGGCCCCCGGCAAAGAGACTTCTGTTCTTGACCCACATTCTCGCGGCCGCGCCTGCTGCTGATGCACATGCTCTGCTCTCGCGAGGGCGCTCCGGCGCGCGCCCCGTGCTCTCGAGGGAGCCCCCGCCACCCATCGCGAGATGTGCGCGCCAGGGTGCTCTCCTCCTCCTCCTCCTCGTCCTTTCCCTCCTCCTCCTCCTCCTCCTCCTCCTCCTCCTCCTCCTCCTCCTCCTCACTCCTCCTGGCTTCTCTCCCTCCTCCCCCTCCGCCTCCTCCTCCTCCTCCTCCTCCTCCTCCTCCTCCTCCTCCTCCTCCTCCTCCTCTATTATTTGTCCTTCTACATAATTTCTCCTTGTCGCACCCCGAGGCCAGTTTTTAGGGCGGGCCAGGCGTTTCGCCTGAGACTTCCTCACCATTTATGACTCTGCAGCTCAAAAGTTGGCAACAGCTTCACAGATGGAGGGCGGGTGGTTTTCAACATGTGGCTCTCGCCTTAGCGCTGCGCACATTCGTTTTACAACATTGCAAGAGCTTCACAGATTGAGGATCACCCGTTTTCAAAATGTGGTTCTCGCCATAGCCCCGCGCACATTCGTTTAAACAATTTTCGAGAGCTTCACGGATTGAGGATCACCCGTTTTCAAAATGTGGTTCTCGCCTAAGCGCCGGCCACATTCGTTCTAAACAATTGCAAGAGTTTCCAAGATTGAGTGCGGTTCCTTTTCAAAATGTGGCTCTCGCCTTAGCGCCTCACACATTCGCCCGTAATTTCGGCAAGATTTCCATCGGTTCCCACAATCAACGTACCAGAAATGGTGTTTAGGAAGGGTTCCAGATTTTGCGGGTGCAACAGTTACGTTGATTCGCATCGTTGAAATCCAAAGAATGGCGTTCTGGTACGATCCAGTATCGTCAAGACGCAGCAATCAGGTTGACTCGTGGCGTTGGAATCCCGAGAGCAATGTTTTGGCATGCTTCCGGGTCTTCAAACGGTTGCCTTCCAACGAGGCGGGTCCCTCAATGGAAATGAACCGTCGTAGGGGCCTATGCAGAGGGAGCTTGGAGGGAGGGTGTATTCCAACATCGTTGATAGCTCTTGGGTTTACACTGGTCCTCCTCCTCCTCCTCTACCTCCTCCTCCTCCTCCTCCTCGCTCTCGGCGCACTCGCTCTCCTCGCAGACGGTGCCGGGCGGGAGCGGGGGCCGCGCGCGCGGGTCGCACCAAGGCGCACCCTCGAGAGCGGAGCGGTGAGGATGCGGTCGGGAACGTTTGCTCCGCGTGTCGCGGCGCCAGGTCTGGCCCGCCGTGCTTCGGCGCGGCACGCTGTTGTTGCAGGCGTCCAGGCTGACACCAACAAACACCAATATCGGCGGCGTGCCTCCACCGAGGGAAGAAGACCCCGATCTCGATGATGGTGGCAACATTCTGGCTTCCAAGGTGACCGAAATATGACCACCAACATCGAAAACTAGGATCATCTTCTCCCTGTGGAGGCAACCCCTGTGTTGGTGTTGGTGCCAATTTCCAGGCCTCCCATATTTGAAGAAGAAAGTCCACATAAACATAAACTTCTGGCGCTCCACGCGGATTTCTTGGATCCGCGCCTGGGCCCCCCGGCGGCGCCTCCGGCGCCCCCCGCGCCAGGGAGGGGGGTCCAGCGCGAATCCCAGAAGTCCGCGCGGAGCGCCAAAAGTTTATGTTTATGTGTTTGTTTCTTCTTCTAGCCATGCCTGCGCCGGTCTCCAAGCATCAATGTTCCGAGTTCTTCCCTGCCTCCTGTCCAGCGGAGTGGAGCGACACGCCATTGGCTTGTAAGGCGTAGCTCATCGAGTGTGTCGCAGGGGCCACCGCTGTGACATGCTAAGCAAAAACCATCGAACGTATTCTAGGTGCGGGGGAGCTGGTCGTGAAGGATCCCCAAACAAACAGTATAGTTTCCAAAAGACAAGCCCGATTAGGAGCAGGACATGTTCCGTACAGTCTTGACCGAAGGTTGATTCGGGTGGGAGGAAGTCGATCAGCATGCACGCACAACGGCCACCGTCCTGTTTCTTGTAGTTTCTTGCTGTCCCTTTTCGCTTTCGCAAGTAAGTTCGTTGATTTTCTTGTCGGGAATTTCTGCAAGATGATACTTTCTGTAAGGCTTGTTCGGCCTCGCATTTGCCTACAGAGGGTGGGGGCCGGACAGGGATGAGGTCTCCCAAAGAGGAGGCTGTAAACCTCAACGAGCCAGGTGATTTCTTCGGCATGAAGTTTCCTCACACTCCGGAGCAGCTGCGAACGGAGTACGGCCCTGCCTGGCTGACTGCAGCAATGCACAAGGCAGGCACGCTGCCAGAGGACAACAGGGTGGTCCGCTTCGTCCAGTTCGATCTCAGGGGCAACGACTCCGAGAAGGGCGTGAAGGACACGGTCGAGGAGAGCAACTGGGGAGGAGCGGCGATCAAGGTCCTGCTGAGCGTCGAGTACGAGAAGGAACCTGGCGCTCGGGGATCTCCAAGAGATATGTTTGTCAAGATCCCGCATCCCTTCAACGGTGTCAACGAGCGCTTCAAGCTGTCCGTCAGCTCTTACGGCATGGACCTGCGCGAGGCCTTGTTCTACAACCATTTTGGCGGGAGGCTGCCGGTGCCGACGCCCCGGAACGTGTTCTGCGACTTCTGCCACAAGACGACCAACTTCATTATAATAATCGAGCGCGTCTCCTATGGCCAGTCGTGGGACAGCGTCGAGCCTGGCCAGGCGTATCCCGCTCCAGGGAAATACAGGGACTGGGCCTACCCGAAGATGGGCGCGGACCTTTATTCCAGATGTCTACGCCTCTCCGCTGGCCCCTGGAAGAGAAGATATGCGGACTCCCGAGGTCACATGTGCAGTATGCCGCTTCCCGTCGCGCTTCCTGCATTCAGCTGTTGCCGATTCGTTCTCCGCTTCCTCCGCGTCTGTTGCCGGGCTTCTTGGGGAGGCCTAGAGTCGACGTCTTGGAGCCTTTTCAAAGCGATCCGGACCCTGCTGTGGACCTTTTGGGCAGTCTTGGGCCTGTCGCGCCGTGTTGGTCTTTCGGAAACCTGAGAAGGCGAGAACGCGAACATCGTGCAAAACATTAGGTAACCTAATTTTGTCTGGTTCCTGCGGCCCTCTTGGGGATCCTCTCGGGTCCGTCTTGGGGCGTCTTGGGGGCGTCTTGGCCCGTCTTGAGGCCATCTTGGGCGTTCTTGAGGCCTCTGGCGTTTTGGAGCCCTTCTGGAACCGTCTTAGAATATGTCTTGGGCGTCTGGGCGGCGACGTGAGGCATCTGGAGGCTTCGAGAGCCTTTGATGTGCGTTGACGAGCTCGTACCCCCACCAGCCCCCTTTCGTCTGGGATTGGACTTCTGGGGAGGGGGAAAGGGACAGGGGGGACAGCCAATTGTCACACACGCCTTTTCATCCTTGGCTAGGGGGGTCGGCAGATTATGCTCACGCACGAGCGCTTGCACAGTTTTTTGGCTGGCAGCATCGAACTAACCAGAAGACTGATCAGGTGCAGCGGCTTTTTATCGATGAAATGACATGGGGCGTGAAACAATATTCTTTTGATATCGTGCGCCATATGAGGCCACAGGAAAGAGATGAATGGTTCCTGAGCGCCACTCAAGATCCAGAGTGGATACCTGTCATAAAGGAATGCGGGTTTCCCCCAGATGTTGCCTCAGGCTTTCTGGCAATGGCCGAGGAGTTCATTAGAGGGCCTGGTGCCCATACTTTCCCAAAGGAATTTATGACCACAGCCTACCTGGATAGATTTTTCTCGGAGGCACGTGAAATGGGTCAGTATGTAGCTGAGATGAGCTTCTGGGACCAGATGCACCCTGAGCTTTGGATGCTTTGTCACCCCAACGCCCAACTAGACAACGCATTCTACTGGAAGAATGCGGCAGGCGACATAAGATGTGGACTCATTGACTTTGGCATGACCCAGTACAATTCCATGACTAGCTGCATTGGCAACGGCTGGATGGGTGCAGAGTACGACATGTTAGATGAGCACGAGGAGGGCTTAGTGAAATGCTTCATAGACTGCTACCACACGGAAACAGGTGTACGATTCGACTACGATGATTTCTACATGCATGTAAAATTGACGCAGGCGATCGTATTTTATGGATGCTGTGTAAACGTGCGGTGGTTGTATTCTCGAGGCTGATGCCGATGTTCTTTTCTTCTGGCATCAAGTCGATGGGGTTGGTGATGTGTGTGGTGCGAGGCGCGCGTGTGGGCCTATGTGCGTGTGCGTTTGGTGAGCTCGCCTCTTCCACCCGAGGTCCGACGCAGTCCTTGCAACAGGCTGGCCAGGCTCGTCGCTGTCGGTGGCCACATCCTTGTTCCTTATTATTATATACCCCCACCTACCTCGTATTCCGGCCGATAGC